ATTTTCTCAAATAGTTGCTTTCCTTTGTTTATTGAATTTTCATCAATTTGGCGATCTATTTCAGTTCTCAGAAAATCTAAGCATCCGTTATCACCAAACGCTCCCCATTCGGTGTTAATGATGACTTGATTAGGTTCATCCCTATCAGTTGACCAAGTTTCAACATTATCTAAATTTTCCATATAACAAGCGTTTGTTCCAGTTCCAACAATCAATCCCACTCGGCAGTCTCGATGTTTATGAGCACACCACAGCAAAGTACCAGTAGTATCATTTATAACAGCCACCACTTCTACGCTACCTCCTTTTCTTTCAACTGCCTCACGCAGTAATTGAACTACGTCTTTTCCTTCAACACCAGAGCAATTAAATCCTTTGGTCCAGTTAACAAGAAATGCACTATCTAAACCTTTCTGTGTACAAGGAAAACTAAATGTGAATCCAAGAGGTAAAGTCCTGTGCATATTACCAAGTGCAATCAAGAATCGTCCTAGACAGTCAGCAATGTAATCAAATAGTTCCTCACCTGAGCCAACCATTATCGACTCAGGAATTTCATAGTTTATAGTTGCCTTAATAGTACATTTGTCTCCTTTCAAATCAATGCATAAAGCACGAAAACGAGTTCCTCCCAAATCAAGGGCAAGAAACTTTCCTCTTTCGGAACCATCTGGAACATCTCTAACAAATGTAGGAAGCATCTTAACGACTGGTCCATTGTAACATGCAGAACTCAAACCTTTGTTGAATTCTTGTAGTAAAAGGTCAGAAACTTTAAGTAGCACATTATTTGGAAGCATAAAATCCTTGAGCATATCAACAGCCTTTTCATAATTTTTAGTCATGTTTCTAAAGCTTATGACTGATACGGGAGTTAAAAAAATAGGCACGCGAAGCACAAAAGATCAGTGGAGTTAAAGAGACTAGTCAAAGAAAATTCTGATTAAAACTCACAGTGGAAATTTGTTATTTAAATCCACGTAATAATGAAACCTTTTTTTTTATATGTGGAAGATTGTGAATTATGTGTCCGCTTCTCGAATTTCAACGCAATGAGAAGAACTATAATAGAACTATGTAAGTCATTTCTACATCATATCAACACTCACACACTTCTTAATCACGCTTTTAACACTTTTATTGATTGATCCGTATTGTCTGCAGTATTATTTCATTGTAGCTACATTAATAATAAATGAATTTCTCTAGCTAGCCACTGTACCTTTCCTTTTAGTAATAGGAATAAAGCTTGAGAAATTATGTATATTACAAACTGATTCTTCAATTTTCAGTCCGATATATTTTACAGAGAAACATTTTCACAAATTGTACGATAGATTTTCTGTCTGGCTTGAAGTTATTTTCAATTACCACATCTTCTTTTATGCCCCTCAAAGCCAACAGATTTAGTTGTCGCTGTAAGCCTCCATTTTCGGGCCTTTTCTAATAGGTTTCTTAAATTCTTCAGTATTGTAGCTTCCAGTTTTTACACTAAGATGGTAACGAAGCAGAATTAATTTACGCAAACTACTACATGCAAATTTGAAATTTTCCATTCACGGTCAGTCTTCACTAACTTCTGAAAATCTAAAAGCATAATTTAAAATTTAATACATTTGTAAGAGATTCAAGGTGCATGCAGTCTCGAGCCCTAATGCTTGTTAATTTCATGAATTTATGTTACGTTTTTCTTAAAAATCGGACACACGTTGGACTAATAACTGAGCCACAACAGAATAAAAGTTCAGTGAATGTTTATTCTGTTGTGGCTCAGTTATTAGTTATGAGTAATAATTATTTTTGATTTCGAGTATTTTACATTTTTGCACGAGTTTAATTATTCTATAAAATTAACTTTAACGTTTTGCTAAAATTGATTTTTATATTGCTTTTATGTTGGGTGACAACAAGCAGCTGCTCATGATGATTTTGAGTTTAAATTTTAATTCTATTGCTTATATCATTTCTCAGTATCAGCTCATTTTGATAGTTAAGACTAAAATTTAGTTATTCGGTAGTGATTCTCACCGTTTCTAAATAGCAATAAATTTTGGAAACTGATAGTAAGAGGCAACATTTCAAAGACTATAAAATAATTTTTAAAAATAAAATAAAAACTTTATCTCATCATTATTAAGTACTTAAGAACATATATCCTACTTCAGCGTTTTTAATCTTCCAAGAAAACGGAAAAAAATTTGAAAGGTTTCAGATTTTAAATTATGTCTAAACAGGCATTTCTTTTTACGTTTCGTGTGTTACCTTTATTTATTAAATATCATGTTCTTTGCACTTAAACCATTAAATTCAGTTCAACAGCAATGTTGCAAAATAATTTTAAAATGAGCCTATCTTTAAAATTTCCGATACACAGTTCCACGCGCTGGAGATAAAAAGGTTCCCCCCCCCCTCTCGTAGAATGTTGCCATTGCTCGCTTTTAAATCGATGAGTTTGTTAATCAAAAATTCGTTAAAGTTTTACAAAATATGAAATCGATAATAAAACAAATTCCAAATTTGGTCTTCCACATGCCTATATTCGTAGGAGGATTACGTCGTTCAAAATTCGATGACTCTATGTACCGTTGTTTTATCACAATGCGAGAAATATACATACATTGATGCTGATTTTTCATTATTTAATTTCTTCAAATATAACGCAGGACTCTAACACTTGGTGGCAACAGTTTGAAAAGTGAAACTGACATTTATAATGAAGCAACGCAAAATCGCAAAACGAAAACAATAGTCCTTCAGAGACAAAGCCCTTTGGACTAATAAAAATAACAGCGTTTTGCAACCTGAATTAACAAAGGAAGCCAAGATAAATAAACTGCAGTCTGGAGGTTTCAGATTATAGTATAACACCTCGAAATGTTTACCGTTAAAGTTTCAAAAAGGTAAACAAAAATTTAAATATTTAAAAAATAAAAAAGCTAAAAACTCGAAAAATCTGAAGCTAGGCGTTTTAAAATTTAATGATTTTTTAGTATTTTTTGTAACACATGCATTCAAATTTTGACACAGTCACCATAGTAAGTAACAGCAATACAAGGTTGCCAGAAGCTCTGACTTTTAACAATCAAACTTTCGAATTAAATACACGAAATACTAATTTGCACCCTAGTGAGACTACAGGGAAAAAAAAATATAGTAAAGATCAAATCATAATAACTGCTTACTTAATATAAGGCCTTATGCATGTACAACGCTATAAATAGCTTCAGTATCTAAATCAGGTTCCAACTATATGTGACTTATAAAAAAGATGCCCATGCAATCTAGTGCCCCAGCTTGGGAAGCAAGTAACACATCGGCCCAAAATGCCTTTATTCATAGGTGATTTTGCTTGCTTCAAGGTGATTCTTTATAAAAAAAAAAAAAAAAAAAAAGTAGAATATGGCATGGAACATGCAAGAACTTGATATGTTGTAGGCATTTTTTAAGGAAGCTATAATTGAATGGTAGAACCACCATGTGTTTAGGTAAAATTAAGTAAACATGCTTTATTTTAACAAAAAATTCGTTTACTCTAAATTATTAACCAGCACTTTTTCGTCTGTTTACTTCTTTCTAATTTTTTATGCAAGAACGCTCGCTCTAATTAAAGCATGCAAATTAATTAGCAGTCTTGGAAGCCAGATATAAAAAAAAAGATTAATTGTAACGAGGTTGAGGCTAGAATTGTAGCTCCAGCTGGATTTGGTTTCCTTATTCTATTCTAGCGACTTATAATTGCGTTCAACTGGATTTGATGAAGAATAGTTAGTTGTATATCATGTAATGTATTTAAGTTATGCGTCTCGAAAAACATCAACGCAGGCAGCTCGAATTTTGGTTGTATATGGTAGTTTTCTGTTTGAATTTTAGTTTTGGAGCAGTTGCAAACGTTTATTCAAATACTGTTGTATGTTAAATGCAGTTTTATGTTAAATTTCACTTTTTAGTTACAATAAAATGATAATTCAATTTTTGTATCTAAGTTTCATTTGTGTTTATTTTCATTTTTGTGACGAAAATTAAACGCATAATAAACTTATAAGCAAGTGATAAAATGAATCTGCAGACTTCACATTTACAAATACGGTTTGGTTTAGTTTAGTTTACGAGTATGCTGCAACCCTCCTTGCTGATAATAATCGGCCTTATGGATAGTGCAGCATACCCGACGCAGACAAGCAAAAATACAGTTAAAAGATAAAAACAAAAGATTAAAATACAGATTAACACAGATTGTGTATCTTTAATAATACACTCACACAATACAAATAAGGAAAATCATAAGCATAATCGGTTAGAAAACAAAAAATAGTAAAACGACACGTAACTCACTCACCCAACATAAACTCGTAACCAAAAGAAAAACTAAAATATTTAATGTCCTATTCCTATGATAGTTTTGTTTTCATTCACAATACTCATCATTTCTGCTGCATAGCTATTCAAGAATTTTCTTTTTTCAATTACATTCTGTTCATTCATTTTTCCAAATCTCGTCCTCACACTCTCGGTCAGTTTACATTCTTCCATAAAGTGAGCTGCATTTCCGTACTTCCCACAAGCCAAGCATTGATCATTGCCCTGGAGATTAAAACGTTTTAAATAGGCCGGGAATCTACCATGATCAGTGATAACTTGAATAGTATCTATATTATTAAATAGATCCATTTTTCTTTTAATGGTCAAAATTTTTAAGTAACCCTTATTTTTATTTGAACCATTCCATTCCCGAGCCCATTTTTTAATTATACTTGCTTTCATTTTTCTCAAGGTAATTCTTATGGAATCATTAATTATCGTCATAAATATCACCGTCTTCCAGGGCTGCTTCATTAGCTAGCATATCCGCCCTCTCATTCCCGGTAACACCAATATGTGCCTTGACTCAATGAAAATATATACCATTTTTCTCTTATTTTGTTATAAATGTTTTTTTTTTTTTTTTTTTTTTTTTTTTTATATATATATCCAAAAGAAGTCTATTGCTCGGTTTCGGATAAAAAAACGTGGAACGCTTCACGATTTCGCGTGTCTTCCTTGCGCAGGAGCCATGCTAATCTTCTCTGTATCGAATATGATATACAAATTACGGTATTACAAATATTACACATAATACAAAGGAGCATGACTAACCAATGCAGCTGCATGCCACTTAATTACGAAAACACTTAGGCAATGCCACCACCTAAGTATAATAAGAACCAGCAGATTTATAGTAACTAGGATTGACACACCAGATATAAAATGAATATATGTTCAAAGATATTACAATTCTCATGCGAAACATACAACCAGCGACAGATCTGAAAGACCAGTCAGGTTTACGAGTGATAAAAAAGTGAAGACTGTTAAGGTTAACAATTTCACGTCAAATTTCTGTTCTTAATACATATATCATAGAAAACTACGTTATTTACTCAACTTTTATGTAACTGCGTCAGTTACTTACGTCAATTCCCAAAGTTTAACGCATTAGGGAGGTTTTTTTTTTTTTTTTTTTTTCCCCCTTAAATACTTACTGGAATTTTTTTAGCATTTTCAACAATGTAATTTCCAGATTTAAAAAATATATTTATATATTCTGAACGCATAAACATTCACCTCAGTAACATTTAAAATTCTAATTAATTTCACTTTTATTAACAGATAATAAATTTCACAATTACATTTAATGTAAACTGTAAAAAAAAAAAAAAAATAGTTCGTGATTTTCAGATTCTCTATCATTTAACTGGTTTCCTACAAAAAGGTCTTGTTAGCTCTTTCCTTAATTGAATTATTTCATCCATTCCAGTTTTATTGAAAAGCCTGTATACACTTAATGTTACAGTAAATAATTTTAAGTACAAAGATGCCTTAACACTGCAGAAAAATGAAATTTACACAGATAAAAACAAATCCTATTACTTTGTTGCGTTAACATATACATGTTTTTTAAAACAATCAAATTTTCAGGCATGCATACATGCACAGGCAAAAAGTTGTAGACTTTTGGTTTTCGAGAATTTGTTCAAGAAACGAACAGTTGATTCAATCTCCCCGAAAATTACTTTAAATCACATATACTTTAAGTTGTATAAAACAGAGATGGATCAAAAACCGCAATAATTTTCAGTCAATAATACTTTTAAGCTGCCTTTTCAAATCCAATTATTTTGGAATGAAATTTGTACATTTCCGAAGTGAGAAAATGTTACTTATTTCCTACCAAGCAATTTTTCTGAATATATTTTTATTTACGATGTATGTAAGTAAAAGATTAAATAATTTGATTATTATTATAAAAATAGTTAAAATCTACACACTTTGAAACCTCTCGCAGTGATTATCTCTTTTAAGACGATCACATTTAAAAATAACTAATAGTTCTGAGAAAATAATACTGAGAATTTCAGCTACAATTGTGGTTTTCGAGGAAACTTTCTTTGCAAGAATAAAAAAATCATTTAGAACGGTTAATGATCGTCTCACTAAGATTTATTTCACTGTTATGTCAATGGTCTTCGATTCTCCATAGGTTCCGTAAGTAAAAGTCAAAATATGAAAGAATTTTTTAATACCACAAGGATCGTAAAATATCTAAAATAATTACTTAAAGAATGTCTGCTTCAATTTTATTGTTAATTATATGAAAAAGATCTATTTCTGAAAAAAAAAATTATAATGAAATAATGATTTTCTTCTTATTTTCCACATAGAATACACGGAGCAATGATATATTTTCAAAGCTTTTCACTTGTATCTTTCTGGAGGACGACAGCGAGGAGAGATCATAAAACTTAACTTGGGTTCCTTAAATCGACAATGATCGAGATCATTTTCCGAAGAGACAATCTGAAATGCACAAAGCTCATATAAGACTGCTAGCGCCATCTATTGATCGTATATGTAACTAACGGAAAAAGAGAAAATTCTTTCCGGGAAATGAGCTCTTTTCAATTTTCTTGAAATTTTATTATTGATATACCGACCAGGCCCGGCACCAGACATTTTGCCGCTCGGTGCAATAGCTGAGGGTCTTAAATTCTGCTGCCCGCAGCATCACTTAATTGTAAGAAATTTTTGTCGCCCCTAAAGTTCGGTAACCAGCGCCTAGCGCTTAAATTCTAAAAATTTTGTCTTCCTTTATTTCGTTGCTAGGACCTTTATTAAATTTAAAAAAAAATTGTCGTCTCCAAATTCCGCTTCGCACCGGCTGCACCGGCTTTGCACACGATCATATAATTGAAGATCCAATATTAGGGGGGGGACTTTATATTGTCTTATAATCTATTTTGACAGACAAGAATATTTTGTTTAAACATTACAGATGGTAACTTTCACACGAACGATAAACATTTTGTAATACTTTCTGTTTCGTGCTCAATTAAAATAAAAACATAAAATATTATAAGCAATAATCCCAAACTTCGTATTATGTTCCAAAATTACAATCCAAACACGCATTATAATTTCCAAACATGCTTTCATAATACCTATAATTATCGAGAGGTATAAAGTTTGGGGTGGGGGTAAGAATACTTCCTTTAAACAAATTCAGTTTTGATTAGATACAGGTTTCAGTTATTTCAATTTCGTTTCCTTTTATAATCGTGATATAATGTCCGAATTGCATTTTTATTTCTTTTTTAAAAATTCTATTTTCTAAATTTAAAAATAATGTAAAAGAAAGTTTTAAAAGTAAAATTTATAATTGCAAAGAATATATTCAGCGGTGGGGGGGGGAATCAAAGTAATCTCTTTAAGTATAAAATATAGCATTAATAACTACATAAAGTAAAATATCAGAAATGATAACTTAAGCCAAATATTCATAAACTAAACATACCAACGAATAAACCTTTTTCATCAATAACTACATAAACAAAACTTTTTACTATACGTCAGAATCAAAACTGGCGTCAACTATTATTCGTCAAATGTTTCGTCAAAATTATTATTGAAAAACGTATTTACTGAAAAATGATGAAAAATAAATTGTAGGTTGCAGGAGTGCTATTTAATATAAATTACCATGTTTGCCGCTTGATTAATCTCAAAATACTTAATTTTAAGTAAAAGAATACATATATATAAATTTGAAAATGAAAGAAAAATGATCTTTTCTGTTTTCCAACAAATCATTCGTTAATATGATGTATGGTCATTACTAAGAAATGCAAACTTCACATTTTTCATTGCATAAAATGTATCAAATTGTTGATTAAGTCTTATGAAACAGCCCACTATTCTTCTGGAAATGCTTCTTTACGATCCTGAAGAGCCCAGAATGGTCATTCGGCGGTCAAGGCATTCCACACATGCTTAATCGGAATCAAATCTGGTAAATGAGCTGGCCAATCTATTCGAAAGATATCTTCTTTGTCCAGATATTCGGTTACAGCCGAAAACATCGCGGCAAAAACATCGCGGACGAAAACGTCGCAGAGAAAACAACGCAAGGCGAAAACGTCGTGCTACAAAACATCGAGGGAGAAAACATCGCATTTCTAAAACATCGTGGTACAAAACAACGTCGTCGAAAATAAAGCGGCTCAAAAACTTCGCAATTTGAAAACATCGTCGTCGAAAATATTGTGGTAAAAAATAAAGTATCTACAAATTATCGCGTGACGATAACATCGCAGACATGCTTTTTTCAGACTTTAATAACTGTAAATAGATATTCCCATAATAATTTGTGAGCGCAAGATGTAAAGAAGGATAATTTTTACTTTCACATTTTTTATTAACTAATAAATTTTTGGTGAAAACGTAAGAAGGAAACTTAAGCATAGAAAATTAAATGCAACTTCTAGATTATACTTTTTATGAAAAATTACCAGTAAAAAGTTTATAAAAAATATTTATTAATGGTCTTTGTTAGTTAACTATGTCGGTTTAAAATTCTATTAAGTGCTATAAGTTGCATTAATTTTCTATGCTGAAGTTTCCTTCTTATTTTCTCAGCAAAAATTTATTAGTTAATATAAAAACATGAAAAACAAATTATCCTTGTTTCTATCTTGCGCTCACAAATTATTATGGGAATATCTATTTACAGTTATTAAAGTCTGAAAAAAGCATGTCTGCGATGTTATGGTCACGCGATGATTTGTAGATACTTTATTTTTTACCACGATATTTTCGACGACGATGTTTTTAAACTGCGAAGTTTTTGAACCGCTTTATTTTCGACGACGATGTTTTGTACCACGATGTTTTAGAACTGCTATGTTTTCTCTTTGCGATGTTTTTTCCCACGATGTTTTGCAGCACGACGTTTTTGCCTTGCGTTGTTTTCGCTGCGACGTTTTCGTCTGCGATGTTTTTGCCGCGATGTTATCGGCGGACACCAGATATTCTGACACCGGAAATACACGAGGCGGAGGAGCACTATCATCGATTAGAAAAAAAAATCTAGGCCAACAGCTTTCCTAAACATTCTTATTATTATATTTCCAAGACTTCGTTCATATACAGGGTGATTATAATTAAAGTTTAAGTTTCAAAACGCTATAAAAAAAGAACCACTGATGAAAATGATGTGAAATTTGAAAGGAATGTTATTGAAGAAGGCGGAAAGCGTATGGCCAGAAGAAAAAATTTAGTTTCAAAAGTTAGCAACAGATGGCGCTGTAAGCGGGAGAATCACGACGAGAAACGAGAAATGATTCGTAAAACAACGGCTAAGGTGGAAGTTACACATTAAAACGCATTGACAAATTAGAATTGTTGAATATTTTTATTTGCATGACTGTACATATTACATCGAAGGAACAAATCGGTTTTTTCAAGTTTTTTTGCGGCGACATACCGCATAAGAACCATTCATCAAAGCAGTTCGGAACTGTCGCGAGACTGGCGCAAAACATGTTCAATATGGTGTCCACCGTTGTGTGCAACAAGTTGAAAGCGACAAACAGCATGTTCCACAACGGATCGCAATGTCTCCGGGGTGATGTTCAGAATGTGTTTGCGAAATGCGTGCCTTTAATTCCGCTAAATTTGCAGTTGGAGCACGGAACACAACATCCTTCAGATATCCCCCTCAGCCAGAAATCACACGGAGTAAGGATCAGGCGATCGGGACGGCCAGGCTGTAGGGAAATGACGGCTGATAAT